TGACTGGTCCTTTCTTTAGTACCTGCTCAGAGTGCCGCCATGGGGGTTTATGGCGCTACAACTGTCTTAACATGGTTCATCAGCGTGTGGGCTGGGGCTGGGAGAGCCGCCACTCCGGCTTTGAGGTCCTCCAGTCCTTCTTAGGCCTCAGCGTCGAACACCTCGGCAGGGCCGAGGCGTCCTGCGCCTTGGCAAACAGAACGTCCACTTTGGTGGGCAGCATAGCCGTACCCGGCAGCACCGCTGGAGGACAGTGAGCGGTCAGAATCCACGCGTTGGTTGGCCCCAGGCCACACTCTGTGCGACACCTGCATACCACCCAAGGCGTACTCGGTATCTGGAGTAGTGAGAAAACCAACACATTTACGTTACACAGATGTACTTGCAGGGGCAGCCAACATTGCATATTTCAAGCCGGGTAACAGACTGTGTATAATTAGCTCACACTGTACGCGTATAAAGCAGCGTGCTTTGCCCACACCGCACGCTTGTGAATTCTCCTCCTCCACTCCCATGCTACACTGCAGGCTCTAACTCGCTACAAAGCGGAGAGGTTCAAAGGGAAAGCAAAGAGTATATTTATTATGCGCAAAAATAGCTTCCTGTCTCCACAGTCTTCATCATATGGTAGTATGGTGTCCTGGCATGTATGTCGTCCAAAAACTCCCATAAACTACCAAAACTTGACTTAAAAACTAGGACAATTCAAAAGCAAAGCTTTCATTGTTAATAATTCTTTTTCCGAGTCTAAACGAGAATTTTGGCGCTGCCGAAAATTAATCTCGTAGTGTTCCGCAGAGGAAGCTGCTTTTGCGCAGGATAATATGATAGATAGGGAGGAGAGAGAAAGTAAAAAGAGATTCGAGTTTTACTGCACGCGCTTTCACATAGCTAGTAAGTTGCAGTAGTATTGCTAGCGCGGCACGGGTTTACTAGTGTCACGTTATGAGACTCATTGTTAACTAAGCTTATTTCTTGAATGCAAAAATTGTTCTTTTTTCTAACCTTCAGAAGGGTTCATGTCTTTTATCTTTAGTTTAGAAGACTTCCCAGCCACCTGATGAAATCAGGGTGGCTGGCCAGCCTCTCAACTACTGATATCGATGAGTTTATGACATCTAGCAATTACGTCAAGTCTGCTTGTTCAACTAACAGAGGCAGCCTTATCCGACAACTAGGGGTAAGTATAGTGGTTTCCAAGAATGAATGTAGCCTCAAAGCCAGGCCTACTGAATTCTTAACCGCACGACAGCTATGGGAGAGATTATTGCCGATGCTAATACATGTGAAGGGAGTAGCAGGATTCGCGGGAAGCTAGATTGCTCGGACGGCGAATAATCTACAAGGACAACAGAACGAAGCCTCGCAAGGGAAGGGGATTGACGTGTACGATATCATCTAGCCACGTTAGATATCCTAGCATAATGGGCAAGATCCAAATGAATAGTCTCCTTCGACTTCTTCAGGCCTTTGGGGAAGCGTGTAAGGACAATAGCTTCGCTGTACATCGTGAGACCCTGCTTCATCCCGGCATATCACTACATGACCGGGTGGAGAATGTTCTGCGGGCGTCACAACTTGTTGAGACGGGTCGGGCACAAGAATCACAGAAAGCAGTGGCGGATTTGGAATGTGGCAATGGCCCCGACATCGTTGTCTCTGTGATGTATTTCATGTTTAACTGCGTGAAGGGCATTCTAGACCCAGAGAATCAAGGCAACAAACATGTGCGTCATGATTCGCACATGTGGACTGATGAGCAAGAGGGAGAAGTGATACGTCGTCTGGCTTGGTTTCTGGACGAGAAAGAGCGATTGTGGATCAACGAGTACATCGCATGGAAACAGGGTGTCTAGGGAGGACGGATTTTGGAACAAGAATGAGATAGACTGAATAGTGAAAAGGGGCCGGGAAAAGAAGGTATTTAAATGTCTTTGATAGAGAGAATGTAGAACAGTGATTTCGGAAATGCTTCGATCAAGTTGCAATGAACAAACATTGAATTTATATAACTAGTTCTTTAAGAGTGAGGCTGATGCTGAAACGCGATCTAAGCGCGACGCGTCGCGACGCGTAGCGAGTCGCGGGGAACAGGGCGGGGTCCCTACTTATGTAAGCAGTCAAGTTAGTGTGGAGGTGGGAGACTGCCCTAAAATGGCACTGGGCGTTAACAGCTTGGTGGTCCAAACCGTCGCACTTGGCTGTATTGTATTTATAAATAACTAGCTTATTACTAAGTACATTATATAGATAAATATATTATATTAACTAAAAACTATAGATATTTTAAAGCTATATTACGTGTTTTTACAGGGATATAAAAAGTGCCTTTTATGAGAGTGCGACTGGGCGGTTCGCTATGGTGGGCGGTTTGCTATGCACTCACGTTAGTTCAAATCCAACAGGCAAACAGAAAAGCTGCCTTTGATGTAAAGTTGGAGGTGGGTAGGACCTCTAAGCCAAGGCGAGCCAAGGATGACCGCCAAAGGGTGGGGCAGCCGTCTTCAAACCCTTCAAGCCCGCTTCCAAATCCATCAACACCAAACCGGCTCGAATCTCGCCGCCTCTATGCTCAAGCACCACGCACAGCCATGGCGGACACTGCGCCCACGATCCCCTCTCTCAAGGAATCATTCATAACCGCCCAAACAAACATCATCCCCCAGCCCCTTGTCCCGTCCCGTATGTGGCGCCGCAACAACAACGCGTCAAGCAATCCCATTCCGGCGCGTGTTCTCGACGACGTCCTGTTCAACCTCAACCAAAGGATCCAACTACACCACCGACGCGTATACCCCCCACAAGCGACCTACAATGTTGCCGAACAGATTAGTAATTTATACTCTCGAGATGCTGAAGAAAGAGTGAAGAAGTGGAAGAAGTCAGAAAGCACTATTGGACGAGAGCTGGACTTGGGTACGGCGCCTGCATTAATTTTGTGGCCTATATTTCCCATGCTAATGCGGTTTGTAGCTGCGGATGACGCGATTGAAGAACTGCCTTCTTCGTGGCCGATTGAGACCGACGTCGAGAAGTACCCCGAGGAAACGGAACAATATGAAGCAATTGTCCTATGATTAACGCAGTTAAGTGAGGAGCTGAACCAGATTAGACGTCGTGTGGAACAGTTGCGGCGGATCAGAGACGCTGTTCAGCCGCTGTCTACGACTGACGATAGGAGTATTCAGGACAATCTGGTCACACGGGATGGGCCAGTGGACAAAGAACTGGAGAGGATGAGACTCTTGCTGGCACGAGTGGCGAGTCGGGTGGGTAATTTGCCCGACCAGCCTGCGAGCAGTGGAAGACAGTCTACAACTACCTCAACGGTTGATTTTGGAGTAATGGCCACGTCAAGGGCTCGGGTTTTCCCGTTTTGAAACGAAATTTGGTACCACAAGTCAGCAACCTTATTATACGAGACATCAGACTACACAGGTATCAAACCACGAAGCATTACCTATGCGACAGTTCCCAGCCTTCTGCAAATACTCTCACGGATTTCCCACTGCAGGATCCGGGTTGTTTTGTGGTCGGCCCCTTTAACGACGGTTCTCGAGATGTCGATCGGGCTGTTATCCGCATTGCTCACAACCTCCCAGCATTGGCTGAACAATGTAGTCTGTCACACCAAGGAATACTTCCTCAACGAAACCAGTTCCCATGAACGCACTGCCCCCGCTAACGTTGGCACTAGGTTGTGATAATCTCTCCAATCAGCCGAAGGTAACGCGGACTCGGTGCATTAATTAAAGCTGTGACATCTTGACGGGGGGCTGTGTACAGCTTCGTCAAACACAAATTTGTGCATCCTGGGCTGCACGGCATCTTTCAAGAGTACTTATCGATCTATGTCTGAAATAGTGGTGTTAACACTAGACCGTCAAACGAAACGTGTGACGGTACAAGGGCACGAGCGCGGTCGAGTGCGGCTTGGATAAAGCGATTGTTCACAAGGGAAGAAAGAGCTTCCTTCGGAAGGCTTCGAGCTATCTAAGTTCTGAAGTGGAGCCGTTCCCTTACACAACGTTAGTATCCGGCGGGCAGGTCGGCGCCCATCCACCGTGACCACTGCTTCAAATCGATATTTTGGTGCACAGTTAGCTCCAGCAAGAGAAAGCACCCGGCCCGTATGGACGGAGCAACTATTCAGGATGGCGACAACGGTGGAGTTGGTAAATGCAGGCATCCTAGAGAAGTTCCAGGAGCCCACATTTGTCTCAGAGGAGGCAGCCACTGTATCCTTGAGCTAATATGTCCCGGTCTTGTCCCAGGTACTAGCATCAGATCGGAAAGAGTTGATGGGAATTCGAGCTCGGCCGCCTTTCGACACCTTCAACATGGTCTCGCCGGCGGCAAGAACTACGGCATAGATAGACATCACTTGTTGAAACATATTGAGGCGTTGCAAGGAACTCGTCCGCAACTGGGAGGGGTGGCTCTTTGAAATTGAGGGTTAGAACATGCCTTGATGCAAGACATCGGGCGAGGCGTCAAAGATGAGTGCGATGTTGGCATCGCCGAGTGCATGGGCAAAATGGAATGCCCACAAGGCGGCCATACAAGCCGATGTGCATTGTTCGACTACCAGGCCTACCCTAATCGTACCTCAGGAAAAACTGAGGCATTGTTGTTACACACACGGCGTTCGTCCAAAAACCACATCTCACACCTTCCCCTGTATTGTTACTTTCTTGGCATGGAATTGTTAAGAAAGTAGAGTAAATTACACCAATTTGCTTAACATTACTCGAAAACTTCGTTTTTCTGCGCCTTGCGCAGCTGCGGCGGCGGCGATGGCTACGGCCACCTCCAGCCCGCCATACGAGCCGGATCCATTGGATCTCGTCATCTACACACCCAAGAACTTAGCTCGAGGTGCCCGCGCAGCCCTCCTACGAGACAGCTCCCCAGTGGAGATCACCGACATTGGCGTCTCTCCAGTTCGTGGCCGCTTGGCCCAGACGCCGTCTTCACCACTCACTCGGATATGCAATGCTGCTATTGCGGAATGACAGCAGCTCGACGAATTCCCTGCACTGCCTACAACGGTCACACACGAGCAGCGGTCACCCATTGACATCACCGATGCAGCTAACCAGCTCGTCGATGAGCAAGTCGCCGCCTACAACGCCAAACTCAGGGTCTTCCGAACCTTCTGCGCACATTTCAACGAGGCCGCCAAGGAATTCACTACCGGGCCGGAACGCGACTTCGCTAAGCACTTCTCCAGTACCTTCCTCGAATTTTGGAAACAAGCTCTGACCAACACCAACTGCGCACCTGCACCAACCTATAGCAGCATTACCGCCAATGCCAACGCCTCTCCGACTCGAATTGCCACCACAAACATGCCCACCACCCACCACAAAAAACCTGCTGCCACTTATCGCCAAGGGCGACGACCACCAGTACCCGCCCCACCTCGAGAAGACCTCCGGGTCTCCGTCCGCCTTGAAGCCGACGCTCCGGCCAGAAACCACATCGGCTACGCCATCCGAGCTCATGTAGCCAGCAAGACGGGCCTTGAGCTCAATCGAATCCCGCAAGTCTTCCAAGTGAACACCGGTTGGGCCATTCGCGCCGCAGACGACGAAATAAACAACCAGACGGGACTCAGGCCGGTCAGCATCCGAGTCCCTCGCCGCGACAACGAACAGCTTCCCTACAAGACACTCATCATCTCCTTCCTGGAACCGACAACAAGACCTTGGAGCCTATTCGGCACCAGCCGCTTAGCGAGACACATCGAAAGAAGCAACCCTCCCAAACAGTACGAGAACTGCTGGGACTACCACACGCGACATACGTGCAACAGACAGACACGATGCAAACGCTGCGGAAAGACGAACCACGCCAGTGACAGCTGTACCGCCCCAGAGCAGTGTGCCAACTGCCTCGGGCGCCCGGCTGTCCCGCCCCAGAGCAGTGTGCCAACTGCCTCGGGCTACATGCCGTGGACCTTGCGGCATGCCCGGCTCGGCCAAAAAGAGCCCATGGCCTGCTTCATCGTCTCCCCAAAGAACAACGAGTATTAATCAGACAGATGGGATCCCGCCTTTTTCAACAACACCAGGCTGCACAGCAGCGACAGCAATCTCAGATGGAACCTAGCGGCCAGCCAGCAGCAGAGGCCGTCGCAGAACAACAGCGTGCCCCAGTGGCAGTCATGGAGCTGCGCCAGGAACACGTCAACCCCCAAGCCCTGACCAATTTCTTCACCTGCACCCTACCAGTTCTACCGTCATCGTCCCCGATGCGCCCCAGGGCCGTGGAACTCGGACCGGAAACGGCGCCGAGACGTCCTCTGCCGACATCACCTAAGCGGCGCCGTGCTAATACCAACCCGTCCTCTCCATGAGTCGGCGGCCAAGGATTCACAATTCCGATAGGAAGACGCTGACAGTCTTCCAAGCGAATGTGGGCAAGATCCCGCCGCTGACAGTCTTCCAAGCGAACGTGGGCAAGATCCCGCCAGCCCACGATTGCGCCCTGGCACTGGCCGACTCGGAGAAATATGACATCGTCCTTCTCCAAGAACCCTGAACAGAGGCAAAGAACTCAAGATGCCTCACAAAGACTGCCTACGACACCGTAGACAGCCGGGATACCAATGACACGCGGCCGAGGGTCATGACATACATCCATAAGGACTCACGCATTCTCGCAGACCAGAAACGACCGACAGTCACCCGAGACATCCTGTGGCCTACGGTGAACGGCGTCACAATCGTCAACTTCTATCGCCAACCGCACTATGACGTCGCCCTAGATGTCCTGCTGCG